CACGTGCGTGGCTCTCGCTGGGCGGAGCCCACGCTGGGCCGGGTCCCGGGATGGGGACGGAGGCTCTGACGCGGGGCCCCCTGTGCTTCCAGTGTGTGGACAACATCCGGTGCAACGGCCTCATGATGAACGCCTTCGAGGAGAATTCCAAGGTCACAGTGCCACAGATGATCAAGTGAGTGCCCCTGACCCGTCGGGCCGGCCGTGCTGGTTCTGACACCCGGCTTTCGTCTTTTGGTTACAGTGGGGCCTTGACTTACGAGTTTAATTCGTTCCTTAACGGAGCTCATAACTCAAATTACTCCTATGTCAAATCACTGTGACGTTCGCTGCGCCAACTAGCGGTGGGGTATCTGAAGCTGGCTCGTAACCCGAATTTTTTTGAGCTCGCAACTCAAAGCAAAAAATCGGCCAAGAGACGGCTCGTATCTCAAAAAAACTCGTTAGTCGGGACACTCGTAAGTCAAGGCCCCACTGTATTTGTCTGTTTTTAGTTTATATCTATTTGGGGTTTTTTAAATTATTATTTATTGATTTGAGAGAGAGAAGGGAGGGTGGAGAGAGAAACATCCGTGTGTGGTCTCACTGATTGATGGATACATTCATTGCTTGATTCTTGTATGTGCCCTGACCGGGGACCGAACCCGAAACCTTGGAGTATGGGGACGACCGTGCGCTAACCCACTGAGCCACGCGGTCAGGGCTAGTTCATGCCTGTTTGGAAGACAGCTTTGGCTCAGTGGGTTTTTGCATGAGGCTGTTTAAAATATAACAGTGGAGCCCGGCTGGCGTGGCTCAGTGGTTGAGTGTCAGCCTATGAACCGGGAGGTCACGGTTCAATTCCCAGTCAGGGCACATGCCCAGGTTTTGGGCTCCATCCCCAGTGTGGGGTGTGCATGATTCTCTCTCATCATTTTTTTAAGTATATACAGTGGGACACTTATGAGTGTCCCAACTAACGAGTTTTTCGAGATATGAGCCATCTCTCGGCCAATTTTTTGCTTTGAGTTGCGAGCTAAAATTCAGGTTACGAGCCAGCTTCAGATACTCCACCGCTAGTTGGCGCAGCGAACGTCACAGTGAACGCCACAACATCAGCCCAGCATCACGTGTCTCACTCGTTCACTTTTTGATTTGACATACGAGTAATTTGAGTTACGAGCTCCGTCACGGAACGAATTAAACTCGAAAGTCAAGGGCCCACTGTATATCCTATATAATAAAAGCCTAATATGCAAATTGACCAAATGGTGGAAAGACCAGCAGAATGATCAGTCGCTATGACACGCACTGACCACCAGGGGGCAACGTGTCTCACTCGTTCACTTTTTGATTTGACATACGAGTAATTTGAGTTACGAGCTCCGTCACGGAACGAATTAAACTCGAAAGTCAAGGGCCCACTGTATATCCTATATAATAAAAGCCTAATATGCAAATTGACCAAATGGTGGAAAGACCAGCAGAATGATCAGTCGCTATGACACGCACTGACCACCAGGGGGCAGGGGGGCAGGT